ATTTTAAAGGATTTTTAAGGTTTTTCAAAGGTTTTACAAGATATTTTAAAGGTTCTTAAAGGTATTTAAAATGCATTTATAAGGTATTTATAAAGTATTTATAAGATTTTAGAAACATAGAAATGTAGTTTGTGTATGTTTTAATAATATTACATACATATTTGGGTAAATCTTATATTTTTAAGAGCATTTTCATAAGGTTTTAAAAAAGGGGTACTTTTGAAAAGTGGCATTGAAAAAGTGGCATTTTTGCAAAAGCCTTCATTTTTTCTCGTATAACCTAATTTTGAAAAAAATATATATACAATTGGAACGATTTCTCTCATCTTAATATTCGATCATTATAACATCTCACCGAAAAAATACTCTCTACAGCAATATAACGATAAGATTATTTCTACAATGATGTTATATGAACTAGGATATGACCCGCGGTGTACCGCGGGTTAATTATTTGATTTTAATCTTTTTATAAACTGATGAATTTGTTGTATATAATATTTTTTTGTTGTACACCGCGGGTCACATGCGTTGTAACTAAAAATAGAAATTTTAAGTTGTATTTGTTTTGTTTAGTGTTTAAAATTGTATAATTGTATTTTGATTTGTTAATCCTACTATTTCACCCGTGATATATTGTCCCGTATTAATATCAATCCAAACCCGTCCCACCATATAATCCATTCCCGTAAAATTAAACATCATTTTGTTATTTCTTTTAATAACGCTTTTATTTAAAAGACATATAATTCAAGTCAATTTAAAAGTTTGCTTTCAAATGGATTCCATAATATATATATTTAAATTAGTGTGGGTTTTTGTACCAACCCGTAAAAATAATTTATAATTGTATCTTAAAATACTAAATAATTGTATTTTGATTTGTTAATTTTAGGATTTCAACCGTGGTATATTGTTCCCTTTTGGATAATTGTAAAAATTAAGGAAATATCCGAATGACTCATTTCCGGGACAGAGTAAAAAAAAAATATGACCTGATTAAACGCGCAAATTTGTTCTTAAAAAATATTAATATAGATTGTACACATACTTTTTTCTTTATCGATTGAGTAATATATGTCTGTTTTAAAAAATTTAAATCATAGCGTATTGCAAAAAAAAACGGAAATTTTATTAACTATATAAATTTTATAATAATTCAAAATAATATAAATATAAGATCATATAAAAGTGAAATAAGAATCATATATTTATGTTTAAATTAGGTAGAGAAGTTTTAGGAAATTAGCTCAAATTTGTTATATTAGCATTAAATCATCATATTTGATTTCCTTATCTATAAAAATCATAGAGAATATGCCATAAATAAAGAGTTCATGTATAGTAATTAGTTGAATATATATATATATATATTTTTAGATTTTATTAAATAATTTTGTTTTAAAATTTTGCCAACATTTAAGGGAAGATCCAATTGAAGATTTCCGGGTCAAAATTGAAACAAAATTCGACCCGATTAGGATCCCTTAAAAGTGTTGCAAAAATGTATAGTAGATGTTAAAAATTCTCAAGAAGAACAACGATATTATTAACCAAGTGGTAACGGTCCGTGATTTCTATTTGAGAAGTTCTCTATTGGGGCAGAAATCGATTCCCATAAAACGTGAAAGTATATAATCACTAGATTTTAACCCGCGGTACATCGTGGGATGATTTAATTTTAAAGTTAATATAAAAGTATTTTGTAAATTGTATCTCTTTATAACATATTTATTTATATTATAGTTTACAATTGTTATTAAGTAACGGTATACCACGAGTCTACGAGACAACTATTAATAAACTGAAGATTTAACCCGTATTAAAGTGGTATATAAATATTGATTCAAATTCGTCCGCCATATAAATCCTTTCTAAAATATAACCCGTTCCATAATTTCTTAACCCGTCCCGTGATTTTTTTTTATTTTAAAATTTAATGATTATTTATTATTTATAAAATTTTACAATACATATCATTCTCTAAGACATTTATATTTTAATAAACTAAAGATTTCATATGTTTTAAAGCGGCATGTTAATGATATTTTAAAATTTTATAAATATTGTTATTAAGTAACATTATACCACGGGACAATTTTTGGTTTTATACAATCTTTTCTAAATGAGACTGATTTAATATGTCTAATATTTGTGGTATTAAAACAAAAGATTTAATCCGTATTGAAGCGGCGGATTAATGATATTTTAATCTTTTTATTATTGTTGATTCAAAAACCCGTCCCGCCAAACCCGTCCGGCCAAAAAACTCATTTATTTTGTTAATGTTCTTATTTATGATATGATTCTGAATCATTGTCTAAATATTTTAATCGATGTAAAACGTTGAACACACATTTTCGTTAACTGGATAATATATGTCCGTTTTTTAAATTTCGAATCACAGTATATGCAGAAAAAAATTGAATTTTTTTTTTTACTTTATGTATTATCTGATGATTCAAAACAGTTAAAAACAAATCAAACAAAGATGATAGGAGAATCATAATTATAAATCTTAATCAAATCTTCTAAATATCTAAATTATTAAATATGGAATATCCGGTGTATGAGTTGGGTTAAATATAACCCGATCCAACAAATTTTTTGTGAAAGAATTTTGAAAACGGGTCAGATATCCGATATACCCGGAAATATTTTTACCCACCCGTCATCAAAGTATTGCAAAAATACTAGTATAGATATTCTTATTTGGTCAGCCAAAATAGTGTCATATCATTAAAAAAACCCGGTGAATAGATTACTCGACGGGTACAATCACCCAACAAAATTAGTTGGATATATAGTAAGAACCCGGATCACCACTGGTTAAAAAAACAACAACGTAGTAAATCATTTCTTCTTTCTTCTTTTTAGCTACGATTCAACAGAAATACATGTGAGGACTAACAAAATATTCTTAGAACATGTTACACCACACTAGCATAGTTACGTTAATCCAACTTTGAAGCTCAAAAAAAAGCTTTTGAACATTGTCTACAAAGTCAATATGAAAGAATAATAATTTAAAAGGATCATTAAAAATAATTTTGACAAATAATTTGGTAATGTGAATAGTTAGTTATTCGATCTTCCTAGAATAGTGGAAACGTTTAGTAGGAGAAAGAGGGCAAAAGTCTTTGAATGGCTATTACATTTCCAATAATGTCTTCAACAAAATAAACCAAACAACACTCGCCAATGATTGCTCCATAGTTGTTAGTAATGATTTGTTTATTAAAGTTGATAATAATTAACAAATCAATGATCACGTTACTAAAAATAAATAAAGCAATGACCCGATGGCTCCTTTTTAAAACAAAACGCCGGATATTTTAAGTGGTTTTCAGTTTTCTTGTTGACAATGACTATACTAATAATAATATATATTTCGAAAACAGTGTACTCAAACTGCCGCCATATAAACAAAAATCTTAAACAGTGTAAACAAACTTAAAACTCTCCTCATTTGCGTTCATAATTAAAAAAAAAAAAAAAAGGTTGTAACATAATCTTGAAATACTAGTCCATCATAAAAAAAAACATTTTAGCCAAAAAAAAAAATTAAATCTAAATAAACAGTTGAGATCCTGATCTCAAATGAAATGAAAAAATTAAGTTATCTAGGACAATATTCATAGTTTTCAAAAAAAAAAAAAAAAAAAAAAAAGGACAATATTCATATGATTAATGTCTATACTATAAAATATAAAATAGAAATTATCTGTTGTGATTTTGATAAATATGGAAAACTATATTATAATATGTAATTTTTTTAGTAGAGATGTAGTTTTATACTTTTTCAATATTATAGTATATCATATTTTCAATCATATAATATTAAATTAGGACCCACCCGATGTACGGGTTTTTGATTTTTATTATAATATTAAATTTAACAAACCGAATTAAATGTTTCTCGTAGTTGAATGTTATTTAGAAATATTTTTAAAAAATAATAGAAAATAATTTACTTAATAAAAAATTTATGTACATACTCCTTATGTGGGTGTAATTTCTAAAGTAATACCAGTTTTTAAAATGCATTAAAATTTATAAAGTAAAACGTAACAATTATATTCTAACATCCTCACTAAATTCATTCTTTTCTTTTTTTTTTTTTTTTTTTTTTTTTTTTCTGTTTTCACTTGCGAATAAAATTACAATACACCCATAAATACAATTTGTATCCAACTAAATTAATGTTAAATAACTTATATTGTTCTTTTGAACTTCAATGATCATTTTTTTTGGTTCGTATCCATGCTGAATAAATTAAAACTTTTTGATAGATGTCAAAAATCGACCAATAAAAGTTTATTGATAGATGTAAGAACTAAACACTTTGGAATTCACTGTATTTATATCCAAAATCTTCAATATATATATATTTTTTTTGTCGTCTAGATTTATTATTAATTGCAAATTGTGAGAACTGTTACATAGACGATTCTACAACTGACAATTCATTCTGACCCTTACTAGATCCACGACAGACTACACTTCCTTCTTCATGATCTTGATGAATATCTTCAATGATCCACGACCTGGCCAAACTTCCTTCTCTGCGTAGAATCCTGGCGAACGGCTATAATTGTACATCGCTGGAGATCTCCTGCACACTTGCCTCCATTAATCTACAAATTTGTTAATAAATCGCAATATCTGGGACTCGAACCCCAGACCTCTTGGTGTAGAAGCATTAATCAACCTTTAGTCAACCAATGGGTCAAGGGGGCTTCCACCTTCAGTATTGTTTTAGTAACAAAATAATTGAAGTAAAAAAAAAACTAATTTTTGTTTTGCGTGTTTTGGAATTGGAAAATCAAAAATTTCAAAAAGAAAGAAATCAAGAAAGTGATGAACATACTAAAACGGAAGCAAAACATTCGTCAGTAAGAAAAATAAATTTGGGCCTACCTCAAATTCAATTTGAGTTCCTATCTCCAAATTTGGGCTTTCATTATTATGAAACGAAGAAGCCCAAAGTTGGACCTATTTTATAAACACTGAAAACATTCGTACTCAAAAGTGAAATTTTGAAATTTTGAGGACTCTTTGTCAATTTTCATGGATTCTTCTTCTCTCTTTGGGCTGAAGAAACAGAATTTGAAATGCTATATATATACTAAACAAGACAAAGTCCAAAGAACTCTTTGTGTTTTTGAACTGGAAAATCAAAAATTTCAAGAAGTAAGAAAGAAATGAAGAGAGTGATGAAATTCTTTAAGCGGAAGTCTGATCCTAAGCAAAAGCTTCGAGATTGGCAACGAAAGCTACGTCAAGAAGTCCGTAACATTGAACGCCAAATTCGAGGTTCTTGTTGCTTTTTTCTTGTATTGATCAGATTCTTAGGAAAGTTTCGAACGTTGAGGAATTTTATTAGTTATATTTATGATTTAGGTTGATGGGTATCTTTGATTTAAAGGGTTTTAGATTAAAGATCCAACTTTTGAGAATTTGTTCTTCATTGGAGTTTCAAAATATCGATTTTTTCTTGTATTGATCAGATTCTTAGGAAAGTTTCGAACTTTGCGGAATTTGGTTAGTTATATGATGATTTAGATTGATGGGTATCTTCCAATTAAAGGGTTTTGGATTAAAGATCCAATTTTTGAGAATTTGTTCTTCATTGGAGTTATGATCGAATGATGATGACTATTAAAGTGTGTTCCTTTCTTACGAAATTGCTTCAATTTGATCATTTGGGTTTGGGTTTAGGGTTTAGGGTTTGTGGATTAGGGTTTTTACTTAGTGAGAGTTCATTTTTCAGATATTGAGAGAGAAGAAAGAAATGTACATAAAGCTATCAAAGACTCGGTGAAGCGGTATGATATGGTCACTGCTAAGGTAAAGTATGAAACTTTCTTAGCAAATCTGAGCAATGGTGGAAGAAATTGGAGTTTTAAAGTGTAAAGGCTCTGTTTCTCTGTTTTGTGTTAAGGCACTTGTTAGGGAAATAGTGAGATCGAGAAGAACGGTTAAGCGGTTATACGAGAATAAAGCGAAGATGAATTCAATATCAATGCATCTTGGAGAGAGTATTGGTAATGATCAAAAGCTTTACTTGGTGTTTTTCATTGTTGTTATATGATGTGGTTTTTAGATTGTTGTTTACATTTGTTTTCGTGTTGCAGCGATTTCGGGAACAGTTGGGCTTCTTTCGAAGAGCGGTGAGGTTATGAAGCTTGTTAATAGTCTAATGAAAGCTCCAGATATGGCTGTGACAATGCAGGCATTTAGCAAAGAGATGACCAAGGTAGTTAATTTATGCATAAGTGCAACGTTATCTCTACGAACTAAGCTCTTGTCTACCGCTTATCTAATGTGAAGATTTATGTAGGCTGGGGTTATTGAAGAGTTTGTAAGTGATGCGGTTGATAATGCCTTAGATTCTGAGGATATCGAAGAGGAGATCGAGGAAGAGGTTGATATGGTATGGACTGCCATAGCAGGAGAGACTGCAGCTGAGCTCCCAGAAGCAGTTAGGAAGGAAAAGATAAATGTACTAGCGCAAAAGGCGGGAACTTCACACGGGGTAAGAGCTCTAGCAGTTGAATGATTGCAAGTACATGAAAAAAGATGGGATAGTTACATATTGGGAGATCAAATATGAAAAGGAGAAGTATACTGTATTGCAGGAAGATGCAATTGCACAAGGAGTTGATAATGAAGACGAACTAGAGGACATTAGAGCTCGGCTCGCCAATGTTAGATTTTGACTGATATATACTGGATCATACTTGTGAGTCTTTTCTTAGAACCATTTTTTATTCTTGGTCGATATCTGAACTGGACTGAAGTGATGAAAACAGGGAAAGATCAAAGCTTTTGGTCAGTGATTGTGCCATTTGTATAGATACTAAAGAAAGTTGAGTTTTAGTTTTAGCTTCAGTGTTTGTTTGGTTTGGTTCTTTGGAAAGTTTTTGGATTTGGAGTAGGAAACTCATTCGGTTCTGGTTCGTCTTGATTTGATTTAGTCCGGTTCGATTAAATTTGGTTAAAATTTGATATATTTTGTTTATTGATTTGGCTATATACTAATTGCATCATCATTTCAAAACCAGATGATATTTTTAGTCATTCCTCTGGCATTTCCCTTTGATAACTGATAAGTGATATGCAGTTCCCTTTGTTACAAAATCATATCCCATTTTAAGAAATTAGAGTAGATACCATTAGTAGCGAAGTAAAGGTGTTTAATTGGTTTATATTTTATAATATAAAATACTACGTATTTGGGTTTAGACGATTGGTGTGTAATAAGTTGTACACACAAACACAATTAAGATGTCAAGGTCTTAAATTTTCAGTCTCTAATAAATTATGGACTAAGAATCACATGTCATCGGTGGAGGAGTATATTAAGCATGAAGGAATGACGATTTTTTGTCCAATTTAGATGGTCATTCTATAATTTTTTTTTTTTTAAACGTTCTTATTATCATTCATTACATTTTCTAAATATTAATTCAATATCTTTATTAGTATCAAAATATCCATTCAGCAAATTACCTGGGATCATAATATTTTTCCTAGGTGTATTCGTGAATATATAAGTGTATCTATACATTAACTCATTAAGTGTGATTTTTTAAATTCATTCTATGCAACTAAGTATATACATAAATACTTGGTTGCATAGAATGTATATAAGTAAAATACAGAATTATCATGTATCTTGGATTTGTGAAAGACAAAATTTCTTCGAGGAAATGTCATGTTTCTGTTGTGGTCTAAATTTAATATTCTAGTAGGCACAAATTGTGCATAAAGCAAAGGTGTTATATTGATGATATAAAAAAAAAATGACGTTACATAAAATATAAAATTATTATAAAATATAGATTACCGAAATTTGGACCTGTCAGTTTCATTTTTATTCTAAAATTTGACCAATAAAAAAACTGAAGACGAAGCATACTGCAGAATGTAGTTGATCGTTTTTTTCTTAAATATTGCTTCGTTTTATTTATAATCCAAAATTACCCTATTTGTCGATTGTTTGGAAAACCAATAAAATATAATGGGTAATTAATCTACTTTATATTTTTTTTTCTTAAATAAATGAGTGAATAAGTGAAATACATAATATGTGAATTATATAATACTCCCTCTATTTCATTTTAAGTAATGTTTAAGGTTAGTTTGTAAAAAAAAAAGTAATGTTTAAGGCTTTTGCATACATATTAAAAAGATTATATAAATTTCATTTTTTTTTACTCATAAACATTATTAATTAAAACTAATTTAACCAATAAAAAGCATACTGCAGAATATAAATGATAAAAAAAAAAATCAAATACATTTAAATTTTTGTATATAAACTTGAAAAATATATTTAGCAAAAAAAATACATATAACCTTTAAAACATAGTTTAAAATTAACCAAATTTTTTTTCTTAAATATCATTTAAAGTAAAACGGGATGGAGTTATAAGATATCTATTAGGATAGAATGAAAAACCACGAGTGAAGCAAAAGTTAGGTCGGTCAGCAAGGGAACATAAGTCGCATATATTATTAGTTGGGGATAACTGTTTACATCATCTTCTTCACTTTCAGTTTTGTGTTTACATAAGACAGTTTTAACAACAACCAAAAAAAATCTGGAAGAAATAAATACAATGGTTACATAAGACAGTTTTCGCAACACATTTATTAATTCCGTTTAATATTTTTGGTGCTCAGTTTTTAAAAATACTATACTATAATTTGGTTGGAAAAAAATGAGAAGTTTTAATCAATACAATAAAAACACTAAGAGTCTCTCCAGGCCTGACACCTCAGCTTTTTAAGCTATTCTCAGGTTGACACCTCATTAAAATCATCGTCCAATGAAAACATTTCAGTTAATACAACTCAACATTTATCAGCCAGTAAAATTTTTTTTTAAAAAAATTGTTGCAAAAAGTATAAATGGCCGAAGCCTAATTAAATAGTTTGACAGCCCATATTGGTTAGCTGTTTACATAGAAAATTAGAAATCTTATTGAACCCATAATTAAAAGTCCATTTAGGTAAGTATCTCAAATCGTAGAAAATAAATCGGTGAAAAAATTACTGTCGTTCATTGAAGAGAAAACCAAAGCTGCATAATCTTACTCACCAAACCCGAATTGGATCGAGAAACCGATATCCTGTTTTGATTGTTGATCTCATGATTCTGGAGATCGAATTCGTAAAACTGTGAGAACTCCGATGAAGTCTATTTTTCATTTCCCTCTACTTCACTTTCTTCCTCTTCTCTCCTCAGAATTCCTAGCCGCTCTCCTTTGTTTATTGTATACAGATCCAACGATGTTTGATCCAACATAGCACCGTAGTCCACCAACGGAGCGTGATGGTGGAATCGTGGCTAGATCGGTTTAAGGACAAAGTGGTGGTGGTGTGAGTGAGTAAGCTAAAGTGAAGAAGATTGTGTTTGAGATAAAATTGGAGTATTTTTATGCTTCTGTTGAGTTTAAGATTATGAAGGAGTTGAAGAGTTTTACTGATTTGGGTTTGAAAGAAGCTAAAGCATTGGTGGAGAAGACTCCTCCGATTTTGAAAGCTTGATTGTCTAAAGAAGAAGGTGAGAAGATCGTTGAGAAGTTGAAAGCATTTGGTGCTAAAGTTGTTTTTGGAGTAGAATCATCAATTTGTTTTAACGTTTGTGTTACTTTAAAAGCTTCCATTTTTTTTTTTGTTCCATCTATGAGCTCATGATACAAGCTAATTAAGGAGTTTCTTAAAGTCATAGATTACACTTGCTCTATATTTGGTTTGAGAGATGAAAAAAGGATATGATGAATTTATTCAATAGAAATCATTTTTTTCCTCGCCATGGCTTTTGATTTTCTTTGAGCTTTCCACAAAACATTGTGTTGTAAAATTCTCTCCTATTTGCCAAATCACCCATCATCAATTCCACAAAACTCTTTTAAAATACCTCTGCAATTATCACTTTAAGTTTTTTTAAAATGGACTTCGATGGTCTTGTGGTACTTGGTGGAGATGACTCCAATACTAATGCTTGTCTCTTTGCCGAACACTTGGTATTTTTTTTAAGTTGGTTAAAATGAATGAGATTCACTTATCTCTGTTTTGTGTTTTGGTGATTGGTTTCCCATTTAGTTTTCAAAGCTAACAACATGAAAACTCGGGTTAGTGGATGTCCCAAGACAATCGATGACGTTTACTGTGATTTGATATTATAAAACTGGACTTGAGATTAGTTCTTGAACCAAGATCCACCAATTACTTATATAAATGCAACTAAAGAAATTGTATTCAAAGATATAAAAACTCAACTTTCGTTTAAATCATTATTGATGAGGATTAATCTTATACAATGGTTTTATGAATAAAAGTTATAAAAATCATATTGATATGTAAATTCAATTAATATTCGATGCTTAAGGTAGATATCAATTAACAAACTTACATTCAAAATAATACCCGCAGCGAAGCGCGGGTTTCGTCCTAGTACCTCTAAAACCAAAAAGGTTTTTATGCCTTGCACACAACAAATTATGAGATTGAGAATCTGAGAGGCCGACGTAGGTCTTTCTGATTTATATTCTTGAAAAGGAAAACAAAGGATTTATTTACACTAAATGTGGGTCATCATTCATCAACATTATGTATATTGGATTAATAACTACAAGATTCTTATCTGCTATGGAGACTAAAACAGAAAAAAGTATTGATAAAAATAAGCAAAAATATATGAAAGGGAATTAAAAAAAAAGTATTTATAAATAACTAGAATGGGATGAAAATCCAGAAGAGGAAAAATGTTTACAAAAAGATTTTATGCGGATACATTTTAGCATTGCGTGCTAAATTATCTGTCTTTGTGAGTCACATAATATGATCTACTCTGGCAATATTTTGGTACCCAATGTAAGATAATGTCACACAGTTAAAGCGTGACATACTGATACTTCGCTACATCACAAGTTTTGTTTATTCATCTATTTTTTTAAGGTAGAGAAAAACTTGAGTGTGAGGAAGATTCCTAGGATGAGATGAGAAATGTTGAAGGTGTAGTTGTGTAAGTTGATGTAATACAAGTATCGGATCTTCAAACATTAAACTACATAATCATCAACTTGCGCAAAAGATAACTTTATTATAATGACAATTATAACAAAGAAAGGAAATAGATTTTACAAAGAGGTTGACAATAACATTTTGGTGATAAAACCATGTTGTGTATACTGTGGTACATATGTTTGATTATTTTTGTTAACTGATGTTTTGACTAAGTTATATTTCCATTATGGTTTTTAAAGTTAGATCATTGATCCGTAATAGGATGTCATTTTGTTGCTGATACTTTTGATCATTCATATGGATGTAGAATTTATTTATTCTTCTCCATAGTTTAGACATATGAAGTCAACTATAATGTATATGTTCAAGCTAAAACTTTTTTGATTTAAGAGCGTTGAACCATATAAAATTCTATTTTAAATGCTCTATTTTTTAAGCTTTTTTTTATTTAAGAGCGGTGAAATATACTGAAATCAATAATAATGCCAATACATTCTCTATCATTTAGAATTATTTAAAATTTCTATTTTAAATGCTCTATTTTAAATGCGATTGGTTTGACTATTTTTGTTTGGATTTCATGTGTCTAATGTGTAGCAGAAGTTGGTCACTAGAGTTTATCGTTTATACTATGAGTCTCTACTTTGTCGCTATTTCAAAAAGATTAACAAAGCGTAATCCGAGAAATCCCACTAATCTTCTCGGATGAGTATACTTGTCGTCAAATAGTACATTCACTGAATTTTTAACAAGCATAAAGAGGTCATTGTACAATTGGGAAAAATGTATTGACACATCAAGTTTTTGCATCTCCAAATTTTGCAAAACAAGTATAGCAAGAGAATAATGATGGAATCCTATATATAATATGGCCAATATTTGCAAATTTTTGTACTATGGAAAGGAGGGAACTTATTTTTAAATTTTAATATAGAATTACATTTAATGGCTGTCAAAAAAAAAAGAATTACATTTAATGAAAGAATAATAAAAAAAAAACAGTCGAACTGCCACATGTGAAGATTCTGGTTAATATTTTTGTAATTATAATACACACACATACAAAATCAACAACAACATTATTCAGGCATTAACAACATTAATTTCCATCGTTAATCGCATTTTGGTTGGTGAAACACATACGCCATTATAGTGCATTGATTTGTCCATGTCTAAAGGATTCTTCAATCCAAACACAATTTTATACGCAAAGATTTGAATTAAAGCAAGGATTTGGACAGAATGTACGCAAAAGCAAACGAGATAATAGCTAGCGTTCACACAATTTACACACTGTCTTTGTCTCTGTCTTTTTCTAACCGAATTAATTGCAATTGCGAAAATTTATGTACATATGATAAAGAAAATTAAAGATCCTAATATTTCGGTAGGTACGTGTATCCATCTTAATTTAATTTTGGTGTCTGAGTTTTTTTAAAACAAGAGCAATCATATTCACTTTTCCTCGAAAGAACAAGTGGGGTTTATCACAGTATGAAACTATAAAAAGAAAACAAAAGGAAGTCTTATGAGTGGCTACAAATTAAAATAAAGGTGAATTAAGTAGGTATGTAACGGAATTGACAGAATGTTTTGGAGAAAAGTCATTGTGAATTTTCGTAAATAAATGGTTGTGTTTCATCTTGAGTAATTTTTAAAAATATAATAAGTCATAGAAATCTATGATATTCATTAACATAAAAAACAAAAACTATGATATTTTAAAAAAATTACACATGAAAGAACGAATCACACATAATAAAAAAAGAACGAATCACAATATTTATTAAAATTCTATTCGCTATGTTTTCATATAATAATCGTATTAGTCTTATATATTACATTTTCACAAAATAGTTATCTAGTCTAAGTTTTAAAAAATTTGAATTATAATTTCTAATGGTTGCGACGGATATAAGGAATAAAATTATTTACGGATGATACCGTTTTTGTTTTATCATTATTAAATTATACTTTATAATAGAGGAGACACAATATAAAACAAATCCATTACGAACCATTTAAAAAGGTTAATATACAATAGATAATTTTCGCCTAAAAAAATGGTTTAGACATTAGTTTGTTAACGGTTTAATCCGCTCCGCTCACAACATTTATTCAACCTAAATGTTGTATAAGAGTTAAAAAAATGTGAAGATGATTTTCATTGATTCTAGCAACCGTCACCTTTTTCGAGGTGGCAAACAAAATAGTAAAAATTGACAATTTTCGTAAGTAAAATAAAATACTTTTAGTTTAAGAAACTAAATAACTTTTTAATATTTGATCCACGATTTGTTTAGTAGACGAACAAGCCAACTATATAAATAACATCATCGTTTCTTCAATCCTATAACCCAACAGTTCTCTCAAAGAAAACCAAAAAAATGGACTCCAAAACAACTTTTCTCACATTTGTTCTCTGTATTTCCATTTTCTCTCATTTTTCACCCTCAAGTTCCAAATCTCTCACAGAAAAGCCTTTATCTTTCTCACCGTCGGCGAGTTTGCCGACTCTCACGGCGGAGAGACTAATCAAAGGATTCAATTTGATGCCTACACGTGACGTCAATGTCATCGATGAAGACGGTTCTGAGGCTCCGAGGCTAGTCGAGAGAGAATTCGAGTTGCCGGCCGAGGTTGACCGTCGTGGCTCCGGTGGTTCTCCGTCGGTTCAAGATTTTGGTCACCATGCTGGTTACTACAAACTCCCTAATTCAAAAGCAGCCAGGTAACTTCCATTTTATTGTACCAAAACTAAACCGGTTCAACCAATACGGTTTAATTTATCCGGTTCATAATTTCTCACAATTATATAAACCAATCCGGTTTAGATTAAGATTTTTTTTCTTAACCGTTCTATTTGGTTGGTACCGATGCGGTTCACATTGGGATTTTAATTCTCAATGTCTTCTCAAAAAGAAAACCGATCCGGTTTAGTGTTTACTCTTTTTTAACCGTTCTACAGTTTTAATAATACTTGGAACCGTCTCGGTTTACTTTTGTATAATGACTAAACCGGGTTTTTCTATTGCTCAATTTCTTTCACAGGATGTTCTACTTTTTCTTCGAGTCAAGGACTAACAAAGCCGATCCAGTGGTGATTTGGCTAACCGGTGGACCTGGTTGCAGCAGTGAACTGGCTCTGTTCTACGAGAACGGACCGTTCACCGTCTCCAACAACTCATCTCTTTCTTGGAACGAATTTGGTTGGGACAAGGTTGGTTAGAAAAAAAACTGGTCAACGAAAACACGTTTTCTCAAATCTCAACAAGAAACCAAATTAATCTCAACTACTTTATTTTAATTTAATGTTATAGGCATCGAATCTAATCTACGTGGACCAACCAGTTGGAACCGGTTTCAGTTACACATCGGACCAAAGTGATCTTCGACACGACGAGGATGGTGTTAGTAATGACCTTTACGACTTCTTACAGGTTCAGTTTCAAGTTACTTTCCTCTGTTTCATTCATCACACAAAGATCATGTTTCTTGAAGAATCTTGACGTGACACATTTTTTTGTGCAGGCTTTTTTCAAAGAGCATCCACAATTTGTGAAGAATGACTTTTACATCACCGGTGAATCCTATGCCGGACATTACATTCCGGCATTGGCTTCACGGGTTCACCGTGGTAACAAGAACAAAGAAGGAACTCACATTAACCTTAAGGTAAAAAAAAAAAAAAAATCTACATTGATTCTTTTTGTTCACACTTTTGTGTTTGGCTAAAGCAAAACCTGTTTTATATATATCAGGGTTTTGCAATCGGTAACGGTTTGACCAACCCGGAGATTCAATATGGTGCTTATGCGGATTACGCGCTAGACATGAAGTTGATAACACAGTCTGATCACGATAACCTTAACCGTAACTACGCAACTTGTCAACAATCCATCAAAGAATGCAGTAAGAAACAATCTCTCAACCTCTTTTCTTTCAAGAATGATAGTAAGAAGTTTGTGAATTTTTATGAATTATGTTTGCTTCTTTTATGCGGGTTCAGGCGCGGATGGTGGTGAAGGTGATGCTTGTGCTTCTTCTTACGTTGTTTGCAACAACATTTTCCAAAAGATTATGGATATTGCAGGAAACGTAAACGTAAGCATCAAAACTGGAATTGAATGGATCCCTTTATTACTTGTTTGTTCTTGAAATAATAGCTAACAAGATTTTTCCTCTGTTTTGGTTTCTATTGTTTGAAGTATTACGACGTGAGGAAACAATGTGAAGGAAGCTTGTGCTATGATTTCTCGAACATGGAGAAGTTCTTGAACCAGAAATCGGTACGGAAGGCATTAGGTGTGGGAGATATCGAGTTTGTGTCTTGTAGTACAGCGGTTTACGACGCAATGCAGATGGACTGGATGCGGAATCTTGAGGTCGGGATTCCAGCTCTTCTTCAAGATGGAATTAAGCTCCTTGTTTACGCCGGGGAATACGATCTCATCTGCAATTGGCTCGGTACGTTTCCTTGCTATGTCCATGTGTTTGCTGACTACTAGTTACATCTCCACAAAACCGGTTAAGATGAGATTGATTGAATATATTTCTCTTGGTATATAGGAAATTCGAAGTGGGTTCACGAGATGGAATGGTCAGGCCAGAAACAGTTTGTAGCAGCCGCGACAGTTCCCTTCCTCGTAGACAACAAAGAAGCCGGTTTGATGAAGAACTACGGTTCACTTACTTTCCTCAAGGTAAACTAAACAAAAAAAACGATAAGCCGAACATATTTCTATCGATTTTAACACCTAATTTAAGTGAAATTGGAAAACGTTTTATAGGTCCATGATGCTGGACACATGGTTCCAATGGATCAGCCAAAGGCAGCATTGCAAATGCTTCAAAACTGGATGCAAGGAAAGCTCAGTACACCCACTGGTCGGACCGCTCATCAGTAAATCCAAATTCAGAACCGACTGAATTATTATGTATTTAGGAGATCAATACTTTACTTTTAAGAAAGCTAAATAACATATACTTGTGAATTATTTCTATAAATACACAGGAAACTTCATTGTTAATCTCTAACCATCATTTGAATTTTGAATGTTTTCAAACAACAAATTTGAAATATTTGGTTATGAACTTATGATTTAATCTATAATCTAAAACCTAAGAAATACTTCATTCATTGAACACTCTTTTATAACCTTTATATGTCACAAAGATTTGACTATTCCAAGTAATACAAACCTATCTCTAAGATTCCACAACAACTAGAGAAGATGACACATAAAAACAAAGCTTGCAAATTCACCGATGACCCTCATAAGAACGATCACGATACTCATCATCATCATCATCATCGTCAAAAATGAGAGTAACACCATTGTTTCTAAGAGAATTAATAACAGCCCATACCTTGGTTCGACTCTTAAACCCTTTCTTTTCGATTTCTTTCTTGATATCAGCATGAATACCTCTTCCTTGCCCATCTTGAAGCCCTTCCACTTTCAGTCTCATCGCTAAAACCTCTCCTACAATAGCCGCTGCCTTAGCATTGCAAGTACGACCACACTCCAGTGAGTTCTTGATCGCGTGCTCTACAGTTGAAGCCGTAGTCACTATTCTCCCGTTGTTTCTGTCCACTACGTTTGCTGTTATGTACTTGATCGACATGAACAACCTCAATACATACCTTTTCAAAACTGTCATTTGCTTCTACAAAATACACACAACATAAATGCATCAAAGGCTCCTTAAAAGCTTGTCTACTAGATAATGTTCTCAGAGGAATTTCGTCAAACACCTTACAGGCAAAAACATTATTCTTTGTAAACTTCAATTCAAGAGGCTTACTCTACTACCCATTTTATAAAGCTGCTAAATTTTCAAAATCAAATCGAAAATGAGAATAAATAATTCACAGCGTAGAAACGAGGAAATCAAACAATCCACGGCACAAAAACAAAAATCTCTGCCTAGATAACACGAAGTCGTGGAAGAGAAACCAACGAAAATAAAATTGAAATTTGTTCGAACTTACGTGTAAAGGGATGTCTAACTTGAGCCTAATCAAGAAGAATCGTTGCGACGAGAAAATTTCCAGAGCGCCAAGATGAACAACGACGAAGCAGGAATAAAACGAGTCGGGTCGGGTCGGGTCGGGTTCTATACCGATAACCAAGTCGGTCCAATCATAATGGGCTTTTTACTTTGGGCTAAAAATGTTTTGTACCAAACCAAACCGGTACACTAGCGTTATTTATCAAATACTCCGATCTAGAACCTCTTAACAAAAAAAAAAGTCAAAGATCAGCAAGCTACATTGGGACATGAAAATTTATATAGAAATCAAAAGTTGATTAATAATGCGTGAAAACATAAAACGACCCATGTGGAGAGCACTAATTTCAATGATTTTTGTTTTCAAGAAATTTGAAAAAACTGATATTCCCTCCGTTTCATAAAGAGTGTCGTTTTAAGGTTTTATTTTGTTTCATAAAAAGTGTCGTTTTAGGTTTTTAATATAAAATTTAATGATTTTTTATGTTTTATGACTATTAGTATTTTGCAGATTGTTTTACTATTAGGCAGATTATGTTTAGATATATAGTTGATGATGTTTTTGTTTAGAAAAAACAAAAAATTTAATGTTTTTTTAATCTGTGTGCAAAACTCTAAAATGACACTCTTTGTGAAACAGAGGGAGTAGTTGCATAGGCTAATAATTTTTTCTTATTTAGTGTAGAAAATAGGATGCTACTAATCATCTTAATGGTTGACTTTTGAATTCTGACAACCTGTAAGCTTAAGAGATTGAGCTTATTGGTTGGATAGTGATTTTCTTTCTGTATTAATTTTCTTTCGGACAACCTATAAGCTTAAATGATTGAGCCGATTGGTTGGCTAGTCATTTTCTATCTGGATTAGTTATTTAAATATCACAAGTACCATTCACAAACATAGAGGAGAGCACTAAGTTAATTACTCAAAATCTCTCCCATCTTTCCTTACCAAAAAAAAAAATTTCTGCCATCTTTCGTTTCTTAAGGTATTCTATTTCGATAATTCTATGGATCCAGAGCCGCAGTTGAAGCTCTTGTCACTCGTTACTCAACTAATGTCTTACATCGACCCTGATAAATTGGAAACGGGTTATGTGTCGGAGGTCAAATTACTCATTAGGCAAATAATCTCTCTGGTCAACGCAATGGATTTGGATTTGCAGCCAAAGCCGGAGTCGAAGCTCATGTCACTCATTACTCAAGCCATCTCACTCTTCAGCTCTATGGATTTGAATTCTCAGCCGGAGCCAATAAGGGAGTTCATATCATTCATTTCTCAAAAAGTCAACTCTATAGATTCTGATTGGGAGAAGATGTTCCTATCACTCTTTATGCTGATAATGGTATTTAAGATAGAGGAGTCGGAGCTCATATCACTCCTCTATGAGATATGCTACCTTGCCACTTCTATGGATCCACAGTGGGAGAAGTTCATTCCCTTTAGCTTTCAAGCATATGTAAGATTGAAAGAAGGAAAATTTCATGTGATTGAAGACGTCCAGAGAAACAGCAAAAAGGATTGGAATTGTCTCCCTGTAAGAAGGAAAACTATCAGTTTTACAGGAGGAGACGCTACACATTTTCGATGCGCAGGTTGCAATGGCGAGAACCATGAAGAATATAACAAGACTCCGGTTGAGATCAAACACCATCTTCATCCAAAACATTCTCTTCAGCTTGTCAAGTTGAAGGGTGGCGAGACCAGGAAATGTTATTGTTGTGATGAAGATATCATAATGATATTTTTTTATTGCTCGACTTGCGATTTTGCTATGAACATGATTTGTTTTGCGAAACCACCAGCCTTGTCTATGGACCTTCCTAAGTGGCATGAGCATACACTTGCTCTGTTTCCAAGTCAGGCTTCCTTACCTTGCAACCTATGTGCCTTGACACACTCAAGCTGTCCTTTCTATATATGTCCCCCTTGTGACTTTGTGGTCCATCAAAGGTGTATCAGCTTACCACGTGTCATAAGGATATCTCGCCATCCCCATCGTGTCTCGTTTACGGCTTCATTTGAACAAGGAGATTGGCGTTGTGGTGTTTGTCGTAGAAAGATCGACAATGATTATGGAGGCTATTCTTGCAGCAAGGACGGTTGTTCGTATGCGGCTCATTCAAGATGTGCCACACAAAGAAATGTGTGGGATGGTATAGAGCTTGAGGGAGTGCCGGAAGAAATTGAAGAAGTTGAGCCGCCCTTTGTGAGGATAAGCGATGGTATCATACGACATTTCAGTCATCTGCATCATCATTTGAGACTTGATGAGAACACATGCAGAGATTACGACGAGAATAATCAATGTCAAGCATGCGTCATGCCAATCTATTTCTGTAAATTCTACTCATGTATGCAATGCGAGTTTATTCTTCATGAAACATGTGTAAATCTTTCTCGCAAAATACATCACCCGATACATCCACATCTACTTACTCTAGTGGGAGGAGGATATGATGGTTTGATAGACTACGATTATGATAAATGTTCAGCTTGTCAATCGATGTACAGAGCTGGTTTCTTCTATGAGTGCGATAAAGAAGGATGTTCTTTCCAGCTACACGTGCAGTGCACCACAATTTCTGAGCCATTGGTCCATGAAAGTCATATGCATCCTTTATTCCTAACATCTAAACCAGGAGAGGAAAGAATTTGTTCTGTTTGCAAAAATAAAGGAAGAAGTTCCACAAAGGAAACATTCAATTGCATTGAGGAGTGTGACTTTTCTTTGTGTTTTGGATGTGCTACTTTACCTCAAAAGGTGAGGTATAAGCATGATAAGCATACACTCACTCTTTCATATGGGGAGGAGACAAGTACTATGATGTATTGGTGTGAAATTTGCGAACGAGAGATAAATCCAAAGAAGCGGTTTTATATGTGCGACGAGTATTGTTGTGTCACCCTACACATTGATTGTATGCTTGGGATGGACTTATACATGAAATCCGGTTTATCACTGAGTATTTTCCGGGGTTTCTCTCAGGCATATGTTCAACCCAACAATCATCATATGTCTCGACCTATTTGCTACTCTTGTGGGAAGCGTTGTCCACAGAAAATAGTTATCCAGTCCTCCGGATTCATTGTGTGTTCCGTAATATGTTACCGTGAGATGGTGTTACACTTGTGCGGACTCACCAAATAAGCAACTGTCCATTCTATATGTAAGGAATGCTTTATGTACTGTTTCAAGTATTGCGTCTCCTTCATATTATGTTATTACATGTTCTGTCATATACATAGCATGTGTGTTTAATCTAAACCTTGTTACAGCTTTATAGAGACATCCATAATCATTGCAAAATTTCAGAAAACCCTCTCTTGGAATAGTCAAATCTTTGTGATATAATCATATCTAAATAGTTCAGATATAATCTCAGACTCTCACTTTTGCAGCTAAATATGGAAGACATTATGGGAATTCTGAAGGATATACAAAAATTTATTTTTCTTAACAGATATGGCAATTAACAAGAGGAAGTGTGGTTAGTAGTAAGATACTTTGTTATGTACATTAAGTGGAAAAACGAAGAATGACTCTAGGCTTAACTTACTACAAACAGAGGAGTGAGTAGTAGACAAGAGGTATAAAGGCATTGTCTAACTGTGCGGTGTAAGCTTCCAACATCCCGGTGGCTGTCACAGCAACCAGAAGCGACCACCACCCTTGACTTAGTATATAACCCATTGATGCTAATACTGGGACCAGTACAAAGCACACTGCCATCACCGATGTTATTCCCGCTGCTGTTCCTTCAACCGTTTCTCCGTTCCGCAAACATTATTTTACGCACTTGACAATATTAGTTTCCGATAAAAGCAATAGTTGAGATTATTTAAAAGGAAAAGAAAAGACTTACTTCCTGTCTTGCTCCATCTCAATACCCCATACTTGTGCCCAACCATCGATGCCTGAAGAGAAAATCGTTATAACATAACATTGGGAGAGACTGCGGTTTTCTAAGTTAGTATCTCCGGACAATGTAAGTAGAAGCTAAAAGTTTACCATTGTATCTCCAATCCCGAGGCTGAGAATTCCGGCAAATGGGGATAAAGCTCGGTCATTGAACCCAGATGACATCCAAATTGGAAGCGCACACCCAAGCAAGAGTGAGAAGTGGCTATAAAACAAGACATAATAATCAATACTCCCTCTGTTTTTTTAAAGTTGTCGTTTTAACTGTATTTAGACAAATTAAGAAAAGGTATACAATGACTATATTAACCTCATAAAAATGACAAGTAATTATTTACAAATAATTTGTGTTCAATAAAATAAGGGTAATTTGGGTAGTTATTGGCATAAATTACATTATTACCTTAAAACGAAAACTAATTTAAAACAAAAAAAATCTCTAAAACGACAACTATTCGAAAACGGAGGGAGTAATTATACAAACCAAACAAAAAATGTGATAATTCTACACTGAGTTTTCCCATCCATGGTCTAAACAGTTTTGGCATACCTGACAATCAGATGCTCTGAGTCACGATGGTCCATGAAAGCATTCATGAATTGATGTAAAGGCTCTCCTAGCGGCTGAATTCTCCAGATCTGTGAGTATCTTGCATTAAGCCCATTGAACGCAATGAAACCTAGAAGGTGAGTTCTTTCAAAAGAAGGGAGCTTACTCGAATGATCTCCAATGCAACAAATACCGCCAATGCAGCACCAAATGCTAGATCGAGAAATTTAGGCTGAATGGAAGGACATGAAAATAATAAGAATCGACTAGAGGACTGGAGAAGGCTAACACATACGGATTTCCAAATAGTAAAATTATAAATTATTGATCTGTAAGACAAGAGTAGAACAGCCATCAGATGGTTGTACTTCCGAAGCAAGATTCTCTCAACCTTTCTATTCCTCGAGATGTTATAAAATCGTGAGACAGACACAACGATCAACAGAACCCAGTAGATACATAATGAAAGTCTCTTCAGAGGTTCAGAAAAGACAAATGTGAGCACCCTGCAATAGAAAGAGTATTAAAGTTGGATACAATCTTAGCATGTGGAAGTTAGTGTACAAAGGATCGCTACCGACGCTGAGAGGACACAGGATAGATAATTGATAGTAGAGATTACGTACCATATGAAGGAATGCTGGTCGAATTCGTGTACAAACTGCATCCAAGAAGGAACAGCCACGATCATAAATAATAGAAGTGAAACAAAGAATAAGACAGATTTTGCAGTATCACTGCAGTTTCTTTGTCGAGCATCTCTCTTTCTCAAAGAGCTTTCATATATATGCACAACGAATCTAAACACCATTGGGAAAAGTAGAAGCCCCAAAAGTAGACCCTAAGAAGGAGGAGACAGGTAAGTTGTTATGCAGCAATACGGTCAAGTTACTATGCATTTAATATCTCTTTTATTATAATCATACCTGGACGATTATGCCGGTTTCAGTCCTCCTTATTCCATAGCTTATTGAGACAAGATCCACAGGTATCAATTTCTCGAAAATCTGTAAAATTTGTCATACCAAAGTTACAGAGACGAAATCACTGAGTCATTCTTGAATGCATGCAGTAACCAATGAAGGCACAAAAACGCATGACGTGTTCAAAGATTGGAAAAAATAAAGAATTCTAACCTTTGCAATTGTGAATTGTGCATGCCAAAAAGTCGCCAAAATAGAGAACAAGACCACTGGTCAGAAGAAGTGCTTCCCCTATAAAAGTGGCATTAGTTGGAAGGTGAAACAGAAATATGTGGAATCAAAAGAGGAAAGTTTCAATTGAATCCATAGTTCCATAGAGACAAAACCATTTCATGACTGACGGCTAAAAACTCTTGTGAGGGATATGCTGAAAGTTGTAGTAGCAGTCGCCGGAGCTGAAACGAGAGAGAAGAAACGGAGAAGTCTCGACGCAGATCTCGACGAGGAAGGCGGAGAGAGAGAGGATGAAGAGGGAGTAGCCATGGGATACTCAGGCAAGACATGTCCATGGTTAAACCTAGATGATACTACTATGATACTATTAGGTTGTAGTTACTAAACTTTTCTCTAACGTACGTTACTAAATACAGCATAAGATTTTTTAAGATTGAGTACCTACCTATATGAATTCGTATGAACATCTGAACATGTATGAATTCGTGTTTTGTTCTTGTATGAAACCTGGTTATATATATTCATTTTTAAAAATTAAATTTAGTTCTTAATAAAAATTAATTGGTAATAGAAACAATTAAATTTCGAAAAAGTAATTAATTGGTATCCTAATTTTCGAAAGGGAAAATTAGATTGGGTACCACATTTGGCCCAAAATTTAGGTCTAGTACCACTTTCGAAGCCCATTTATCACTCATACCACAATTGAGGTATGTAATGACCATTTTGCCCTTCTTTTTGTTTGTTCAAATTTCAGGGACAAAATTCATAGTTTGAGCACACAAAAAGAAGTTTACATATATTTGTCCCCGAAGTTTGAGTTTCTCCATAATTTCATCTTATTTTTGCATGTTTGCTAGTTTTTGTCCCTCAATTTTAATTCATTGTTCTTGGATTTTAGTATGTAAACTCTAATTGCGGTATTTTTATTTTGTTTGATGTTTATATTTCGTTTGATTATTGTCCCCGAATAGGTTTTTTGTCCCCAGATACTTGTCCCTAAATGTTACACTTTATCTGCCACATCAGCCGAGGGCAAAACCGTCTTTTTCATACCACAATACAACATGAATGTGGTACAACTTGTACCGTACAACTTGTACCGTACACCGCAAAAATATTAAATATTTTTTAAACTAATATTCTACTTAAATTCAATTTTTGATTTAAATATTTAAAACAAAACGTAAAACCACGTCTTCTATAACATGGTTATGCGATTTTTGCGGGAAAACGCAGATCTACGGTTTTGGCGGGAAAACGAGGATTTACGGTTTTGGCGGGAAAATGTGAGTTTACGGTTTTAGCGGGAAAACGCGGATTTACGGTTTTGGCGGGAAAATATGAGTTTACGGTTTTGGCGAAAAAACGCGGATTTACGGTTTTGGTGGGAAAATGCGGATTTACGGTTTTGGCGGGAAACGCGAGTTTACGGTTTTGGCGGAAAAACGCATGTTTACGGTTTTGGCGGGAAAACGCGATTTTGCGATTTTGGCAGAAAATGACGTTTTCCCGCCAACACCGTTAACCCGCATTTTCCCGCCATAATCGTAAAATTGCGTTTTATCAACAAAAATATCATACTATAAAATGATGTTTTCCCGCAAAACCGTAAACCCGAATTTTCCCGCCATAATCGTAAAATTGCATTTTTTGAAACTATATTATTCTTCAACAAAATAATAAAAACAGTTATATCATTATTTATCAATTATTTAATAAAATAATCTGTAAATTTTAAATAATCAATTAAAATAATTATTGATTATATTATATTGTTTAGAACAAAACAATGTTAGATGAGTTGAATTGACATATAAAGTGAATTGGATTTTGAAGTCCAATGCTTAAACGTGGGGTGTCCATTGAACTTGAAAGTCATTGGTAATGGAATTTTGAAGTCATTGGTAATGGATTTTGAATTCCAATGCATATAATTTATGTCAAGAATTACAAAATTATACATTTTAAAACTTTATTCCAATAACAAAATAATAAATATTTCAGGAACGGCTGTAAAAAATATATATATATATATATATAATAACTAGGTTGAAGAACCCAAGGTTGGGTGGGCTGGAGTCTGGAGAGCGCCGCCGTGGAAGATGAAGAACCCAAGGTTGTTGATGTTTTGTAAAAAATAACTTAAAAGTATGTGTATTGCAAAATAACTGAGAGAATTGCAAAAGAAAACACTAGGTAATAGGTTATAATTTTTTATTCGTGGATACCAATTTTCGGAGAGAGAGAGGGAGAGAGGGAGAGAGATGAAATACTTGATAAAATGCTAGGATTGTTTTTGTTCATGTTTTATGAGTAAAAGTACATTTAAATCCAAAATGAAACAAATCAAATGAATATTCAATAACAGTTGTTTTTGATTCATTTTAGAATACATCAAACAAATACTAATCTAATAACAGCAGATTTTTAACGTAATTTTGCAAATACTAATCCAATAACAGCAGATTTCAAAATCCATTAAAAACCCCCATCCAATAACACCCCCTAAATGGGTTTAAATGGGTAAAGAAAATTTAAATGGGTTTAAATGGGGAGGTTAAATGGGGTGTAAACTTAAATAGGCTTAAATGGGTGGGTTTTAAATGGGGTTAGTTTTAAATGGGGTGGGTCTAAATGGGGTGGGTTAACCCATATTAACATCTCTAGGTACAAGTGGTAAACCATTCT